GTCTGCTTCTCCCTCTGACCCTCCCCCTCTCATGTGCTCTCTCTCTCAAATAAATAAATAAAATCTTTAAAAAAAAAAAAAAAGAAAGAAATGGGGAGAAATTAACACTTCCTGCAAGGCTTTTGTGAGAATTAAGTATGTTAATAACCATACAGTGCTTAGAACAATGTCTGGTAATTATACATAATTATAAATATAAAAAATATTATTTAAAGGGACAGGATTTACCTATATCTCTATCAAATGAACTGTTTAAAGAACCATCTCACTGAAGAGGTTATGCAATTCTATTCAATAGTCTATTTCTCAAATGACCTAAAAATGTCACTTTCCTGAAAATTGGTAATAAAAAAATGCTGAGGAAGACCTAGGAAAAAATATTAATATGAAAATGGACACGACCTGATACAGACCACAGGGATTCATTTTCCTGTATGATTTTCATTTCTTTGAAATAAATTCCTCATATTACTAAAAGAAATACATTCTTGGTTAAATTTTTTCTGCTTAGGGAATGCAGGCTGTGGAACCAATAGGTCCCATTCTTAGCTTATCCTTATGATTCATTAATTGTGAGATCTAAGTCCCATAACCTAAGAGAACAACGCTCACGTAGAAATAATTTCCACCCACATCTCGAAGCTATAAGACAATCAAGTGATAAGTCAGGGAAAAGAACTCTAGAGTTGTAAGTTAAGACAAATGTGGCCCAATCTATTCTTCTTATGCAAGAGAATATTGAAGCTTCCCGCTCCATCTCCCAAACAAACCTGGAAGAAGGCAAAGAAGACAAAATGAAACAAAACTGAAGCTCAGAATGAGGAAATTACTACCCAGGGCCACACACCTGGCTCAGGAGAGGCAGGGCTCAGTGGAAGCTCCAGAGCAATTTCTCTCCAGGATGAGGTTGACCCTGTTTGGTCCCACTTGAGAAACAGGGATAGTGAGGTGGGTCTTGCAATGAGCTGAAGGGGAAAGGGACTCCACCACTCAGTGCCATTTGGAATAGGAATCCTTCAAGATTCCAGTAGAGATCTCTTCAGTGCTACAACGTAGGAGTCATCTGTGAGCCACTGGGGTCTTGTGGCCTGGGGATCAGTTAGTTAAATCCCGAGGGTAGATACTTGAGAAGATTGTATCTTAGAAATGCCTTGAGGAGTGTGAGTGGATTGGATTCATCAGCCCAGACTACTGACCTTTCCTTCTCTAACCTAGATCGAGTTAATCCTCCAGTGAATGTCACAGCAGAGATTGAAGGAACCCGTCTTTCTATTCAGTGGGAGAAACCCATTTCTGCTTTTCCAAATCATTGCTTTGAATATGAAGTGAAGATTTACAACACAAGGAAAAATTATTTTCAGGTAATTCTTCAGATCATTCCAATTTTGATGATAGCATTCTCTTAGAAACATTTTAAAAATTCTATTCGGTGACAGCTGCGTTTATAGCTTGGCAATAACAAGGTCAAAGGTAACTTATATCCACCCAAGTTTTGTAAAAATAAACCAAACTTTACTGTCTTTTTGTGTTGAAGGACAAACTTTTGGTTCAAGATAACACAAAGATCAGATAAAAACTCATGAGCACTACTGTTGGTGTAAATATGTTTTTTTTATATTTTATATAAAATATAAGCAGCCACTGTGGAAAACAGCATGGCAGTTTCTCAAAAAATCAAAAATAGAATTATTGTGTGATCCGACAATTCCACTTCTTGGTATACATCCAAAAGAACTGCAAGCAGCGTCTCAAAGAGAAATTTGCACATCCATGTTCATAGCAGCATTATTCACAAGAGCCAAAAGGAGGAAACAACCCGAGTGTCCCCTGACAGATGATGAGCAGATCAACAAAACGTGGTCTATGCACACAATGCACTGTTGTTCGGCCTTTAAAAGGAAGGGAATTTGGACACATACTACAACCTGGATGAACCTTGAAGACACCGTGTTAAGTGAAATAAACCAGTCACAAAAAGACAAATACTGCAGGATCGCACTTACAGGAGATACCAAGAGTAGTCAAATGCAGAGAGACAGAAAGTAGAATGGTGGTTTCCAGGAGCTGGGGGGAGGGGGGCGTGGGGGCTGTTGTTTCACGAGCAGAGTTTCAGTATTGGAGGGTACAAGAGTGCTGGAAATGTTTGCACAACAATGTGAATGTATTCACCACTACCAAACTGTACACTTAAAAATAGTTAAGATGGTAAATTTTATGTTTCCTATTTTTCACTACAACTGAAATATACTCATCAGCACTAAAGAACAAAAAGTTCAAGGGACAAGGAAATGAGAAGCCAGCCAGCATTTATGAAGCATCAGCTCTGGGTCAAGCTTCATTATGCTAATTTATTCCATTCTCCCAATAACTCCATTAAGACACTCTCATTCCCATTAGGCAGGAAAGTGAGGCAGAGAGATTAAGCCACTTGCCCAAAGTCACTAGGCTGGCAAAGCATAGGGAAGTTAGGATCACCACTGGCATCGTACTGACAGTAGGCAAAGCAAGTTCCATTCCGTCCAATTTGATTCAACCAATACTTACAAACTGGTTTCTATGTGGGAAGTATAAAGATAAGTAAGATAGTGTCTCTGCCATCAAGGGGCCTAGTCTAGCGGACACACTCACCACGTCACTGGAAGGGCCAACAGAGGTCCAGAGGAGGGGGTGGGCAACGCAACGCCCGCTGAGGGCCCCCGCTGAGAAGAATTGAGCAAAATCATGCCTGGTGACACGGGAAGAGGAGACCAACTTCTGTAGCCAGCGCTTCCCCAAACACCTATGTTGAAAGATTGGCTTTCTTTTTTTTTAAATTTCGGATCTAATTTCCAATTTTTAATTAGATTTCTCAATTTCTAATTGTTCTTTTATAAAATACAATAAAAATGAAAGGCCAGAAAAACCAAATATGCCCAGAAAGAAGCCCAGCGATCATGGGCTTGGATGTTGTGGCAAAGTCAAATTGCTACAAGAGCTCCAACTCTCGTTTTGATTTCTGTGTTTCCCTCACTGTGGCTCAGTAATAAACAGCTCCTGACCCACCCCCGTCAGCCAAGCACACTCGAAGTGGCAGGGTGTCTAGGCAGAAGGCAGAACTCAAAGGCTTAAGAGAGCATGGCTCCTCCAGCCAAGTGGCAGTAAGTGAGTCGGCCTGGACAGAAAGCCAACATTGGGATAACAAATCTGGATCCTACACGGGGACTTTTCCCCGAATGACTGAGATTTTGCTTAAAAAAAAAAAAAAAAAAGAGCGGTTTCTCTTTTTAAAACCACTGCCATAGGGACAGAAAACTACTGAAGGGTTTTATTCAATACAGAAATGCGACTGCATCTGCAAAATCAAAGAATAATTTTGGTAGCAGCATGAAAGCTGGATGCATGGGGAGGGGGCCATGTGGACATAGGCATGTGGGGTTAATGGCTCTGGCAAATGGCCAAGCAAAAGATAACAAGACAAATCAGGCAGTGGTCGTGGGGCCGGGCAAGTAAAAGAAACACACCCAGAGGAACGGAAGGTGTAGGTGTCAGGGCTGCATCTCTGGTCTGGGGCATAAAGGATTAGGTGAACGGTATGGACACTGACCAGTAGAGAGAGTAACGTAGAAAGGCTCATTTGTGAGAAGACAGCCTCGTGTAACGCTGGACAATGTTAGCCCAAATTCCCTCTGGCAAACTAGCATTTCCTGAGTCCCCGTTATTGTATTGAACTAACCAACATTGCTGTTTTTGCTCATCAAAGATGGGTTGAATATTGGCAGTTTTCATAGGATTCAACCCAATACACCCTTAAACGTGGAATTACAAAGGTACGGTTTAGTTCAATAATTCGTGCTCAGGTGTTGTTATTCCCATTTTATAGATGAGAAAACAGGCTCAGAGAGGTCAAGGAATTTGCCTTGCAGGTAGTTTGGAGCATAGGATTCAAACCCAGCCCTTCCTAGATTCAAGGACTCTGCTCTTTCCTCTTTATCATGGCGCCCCCGCTGGCTCCAATTATTTGAGACATTCCTATACATCAGGGTTCAGCAAACCTTTTTTTTTTTGTAAATGGCCAGATATTTTAGGCTTAGCAGGCCATTTGGTTTCTATCACAATCACTCAGCTCTACCACTGTGGAACAGAAGCAGCCATAGATAATAGGTAAACAAATAGGCATGGGTGTGTTCCAGTAAAACTTTACCTGTGGATACTGAAATTTCAGTTTCATGTGTCATGAGATACTCTTGATATTTTTCAATCATTGAGAGATATAGAAACCATCCGCAGCTTGCAGGCCCTACAAAAAGAGGCAGCGAGCCAGACTGGCCCACACGTTGTAGTTTGCGGATGCCTTCTGCATAGGATGGAAACCAGGTGATATCGTTGAGTAATTTGACCACAATATGGAGGGACGAGATGAGGGGGATTATGCGTTCTACTATCGGCCACTCCAGTCACTTCATCTGGAAACATCAGCTGGGCCCAGATAAATCATCTAGATGTTATGATTGACTTTTTCTTGATTTTGGTTACGAGATCGCTTACCCCAGAGGGTAGCTGCCGGCACATCCATAACGAAGCCTTCTAGAATAAACTAATCAATGTATGTCCTGTGGATTTTAAATGGGTCAGGTAACAGTGAGTCACATTACTTAGGTACGGCCTTCCATTCTTCCATTCTGATAACTGACATTACTTAAATTACGTGTCCAGAGATTCTTATAACGCTAATTTTTTCCTTTTAGACAGAAAAAATGACGACGAATACATTCATCTCGATAATTGATGATATTTCTAAGTATTCCGTTCAAGTGAGAGCAGCAGTGAGTTCTGTGTGCAGACAGATGGGGTTTTGGAGTGAGTGGAGCCAACCTGTATATGTGGGTAAGTCTCTTCTATTTTAAAGCGAGCGACCTTCCTCATGGTTAAAACTGATAATCCTGGAAAGTGAACACATTCATTCATGGACCCAAAATGCCTCATCTTCTGTCAGTCTACTGCCCTTTTGACCATTGCCGTGCTCTCTCGGCTTCAGACGGCGATCCCATAACCTGGAGGGTACGGCCTTGCGCCTTGAAGACAGAAAATTCACAGCCTGTGTTTGTCATTGCCTGGGCGTACTGGGTTTCCATCGACGTTTTAGGACAGAGGTAGACAGTGAAAAAGCAGCTAACCTATCTCTTGTGTGCGCTGCAACCATGCAGCCTGAGGATGTGGACGAATGTGGTTAAGTGTTACGTGAGATCTACGAGAACTCGGAACAGTGGAAGGAACACGGGAGTCGTACTTCCATAGCACAGATGTAATACCCAGCTTTGGTACGTAATGACCGCATTCCCTTGGAAAAATCCCTTCTGACTTTGCTTGGGTTCCCAGGACAAAGCACATAATATCCACCTGACCTGCCCCACAGGGTACTATGAAATAAAAAATAATGACCGTAGCTAACATTTATTGATGGCTGTTTGCCAAGCACTGCTAAATGCTTCACGTGCATTACCTTCGTTAATCTTATCAACAAACCTATTTTGCTTTGAAAGTTTAGGCAATTTGCTTAACTCTGCATGCCCAGCGAGTGGCAGATATGGGATTCAAACTGAGGTTGGCAGAATCCAGCTCCAGAGCTCTTAGATGTAGGCCACGGGGTGACAGGATTCTACAAGCTGCAAAGTGCTGAACAAATTAAACAATTATGAGATCCTGGGAGCTAACTTTGTGGTTATGGCTGGTCGAGCATTTGAATGTTATCTCTCACTCATCCTCTGGGGCATTCAATGATCATTTGAAGAGGTACTTAAGGAGAGCTGTCTTTCAGGCCTGTTGTAAAATTTTCTATTTAAGTCATCCACTTAGGCTAATGGGTGGGTCTTCAGGAAATTCGTGGGCAGTGACCCATTAGATTATGAGGATGTGAGTCAGATTAGAAACGTATCAGGTAGATTTCCATGGAACGATGGGTGAGATCAGAAAAGGCCTAAGAACTGCAGAGTGGTCGTGAGTCTGCCAGGGGGCTGGCCATGCAGAGTTGCAGAGTTTGCAAAGGGGGACGGCACCCGCTAGAGTTGTGCAACACACAATCAGCGCAGCCTTATGGGAGGGCCCCCAAATCACCCCACTGGAACTCAGAGGGGCAGCGCAAGCCTTCCTGGGAAGAGGAACAGGAAAGAAGGATAAAAGGACCCAAGATTGGGCCAAGTGCACCTACTTCCCAATTCTGCCAAGACCAATCTTCCCTGCCTCCTCTTCTCCCTAGGCTGATGCCCCGACCTTGTTCCCTGGACCCGGCACACACAGGACCTCCCTCCACACTGTTGCTTCTGCACAGAGTGGATTCGCTTTGCTCACCAAGAGCAAAACAAACAGAACATTAATCAGTCCCAGGAAATTTTTAACAAGATTATTCCTTTTATCAAATGCCTGTGATAGAAGCTTAATTTTCATTACTTACATTTGGTCACATTTTTTTGAACAGTGTATGTTATTCCCCAAGGGCACAAAACTTGTTGGCTCCGAATTACTGATATTTCTGAGCGTCTCCCCAACATTACTACACATAGAGCTTCAGAGATTTTTTTTAAATGCTGTCCAAGGACTTCAAACCAACATGATGGAAACCAAGAGGAGAACCCTAGTTAAGAAGCCAGTTCTGCTTTCTGAGTGTTTGAAGTTCAGGTCAGCGTTGACCGTAGACGGTTTAGAACTTACAGAGCAAAAGAGACCAGATCAGGAAACCTAGGTTTTAGCCATGACTCTGTCAATGTCTAGCTCGCTGACCCAAGCAAGAGATAGCAAAAGATAACACCTCATGAGCCAAGGAATCAGAGCCAGCTTCGCATGCTGTGTTGTGAAGGATTCTCAGGCTACGTGCCTCTCAGGAGTGGTGATCTGTCACCCCCGGCAGGGTACAGAGTGGTGATGAGTATGCCCGGCATTTGCCACCCCTGACTGGCGATCCATGCCTAACCTCTCTTGGTCCCAGTTCCCTCACCTCAAAATGTGAAAGCTGCCCCCCAAGTTTCTTCTACACTCCCTCAGCCCACCACAAAAGTGCTGAGAGTGAAATTGTGATCCATAATGAGAATTTATTTTAAGTTTTTAAATTTATTATTCACTCTCCACTTTAGAGCTCTCCTCCCATTATTATTTCCTAAATAACAGCTTCCTAGTTTGTAACTAGGCTCATTATAATTCCCCCCCAGGTATACCTCACTGCCATTATCTATGGCAAATCCCATTTCATTTACTGCCACCCTTTTCATAAGATGAGCTGATTAATATTACCACTCACCTTACAAATCCATCGTTTCTAGAATTTACTCCCCTGCTCAGTTTAGGATCATTAGTGAATTTAATCAATGCAGACTTTCCATTTTCATCAAGATGATTAATAAACATAATAGGAAGTCCGGGCCCCTCTGGGATATGTTGCATGGCTCTTCCTTACCCCTTGAGGATGCAACCATAATTATGCTCAGCTTGCAGTCTCTCAGGCAATTTTGTCGCTACATTCATTTCCTTTAGACAACCTTCCTCCTCTCCTACCTTGTGTGTATAGCGCCCTGAAGCCCTCCCCTTCCATTGTCACTCTGCAGCCCCACTCAAATATCATCTCGTTCTCACGTATTATTAAGTCCATCTCCTTTAATGTAAGGAAATGGAGACCCAGAGATATTAAATAAATCAGTAGTTACCCAACAGCCCAGAAGTGGCTATTAATAGCTAATTTTCTCAAATAGGTGACATATTCGTCAATTGGTGAAGTGGAATAGATTCAATTCACTCATTAACCCACGATAGCCCAAGGTTATTCAATAGTGAGACCCAGGAAGACTAAGTTTTGGCAGTGAGAGGGTCCAGCCGGCAAGGGCCCTGAATCTCGGCCCTAGATGGGCCCTCCTGTGCTAGGATTTCCAGCATATGCAACATGTTTGTTTTCAAATGGAAATAGCGGTTGGTTTCATTTTTATCAATACTCGTTATCAACTGCCCTTCCTCAACTGGCCTCTGTCTTAAGAGCTAACTTCCACTTTTCACATGTCTTTCTCCTTTTTAAGACTGTCTTAACTTCCGGATTCTTCTGTTCCTTTATTATCTCTGCTGTCTCCTGTTTATTTAAACCTCTTCTCTCCTAACCCTGGTCCTATGAAGCCTTCCATTTGCTCCAGTCCATCATCTCTCTCCTCCTACCCCGTCCATGAAGCTCACACAGCATGCATGAAAAAAAGCAATTATGAAAATTAAATGCCCTACAGCTATAGCCTTCCCTTTGGAAAAGAGCGCTTGTTATATGAGTCTACCCTGTGCTGCTTTCCTGCCGTGTCACTGGTCAGGCTCAGTCCTTCTGAGACCTGCTTATCAGAGATGGGTCTTAACTGCAGTCACAGGCACGGCCCTCCAAACCAGCGATTGGGTTTGAATCTGACTTCACTGAAGGCCACCATCTGTGTCATGACAATACCAGGTACCAATTAAACAAACAAACACCTTTTAATTTAAAGATTTCCTTAGGCTTGAGATATGCAGCATTTTTACCTCCGGGAGTAGAGCAAAGTTTCCCCGTGGTCCTCTGTTGCCTTCAGAGGCTTCTCTTTCCACAAGACAAGTTAGTCAGAGGAAATCTGGGCTTTAGCTCTCCTGTCACAGTTTGGGGCAGTGGTTGGGGGTACTGGTTCTTAGAGCCACATGACCCAGCCTAGAGCCTGTAAGGACTTAATGAAAGTAGGCTGAGGCAGAAGATCAGGGATATGTTTAAGAATTTGGGTTGAGATGGAAGTAGGGTTCCCACAGGCAACTCTTGTTGCCTTTGTCCTCCGACTAGACTTTAAGAGGCTGTGAATAGTTGCGGAACCAGATACATTGGCCCAGGTCACCTGGACTCTCCCGCAGCCTCACCCTCAGCCCTGGACACACCTCCTGCGCTCTCTCCTGGGTGGTCTCCGTAGCCTGAGGACAGAAGAGGACTAGCTAGAAGGGAGCTTTCAGATTCTGTCTCCATCTGTCAGGAGCAGGGCATTTTACTGTGTTTTCTGGCATGGCCACCTCTAGTGGTGTCCACACTGACCTTCCGTGCATGAATCCCACCCCACGAAGGGCCCAGCAGATGGGCTCAGAGGAAGGAAGGACTCGACTGTTGAGGCAGGCACTGTGCTAGGCACATTCACCTATGGTATCTTGTGTATCTATTTATTTGACAGAGAGAGACACAGCAGGAGAGGGAACACAAGCAGGGGGAGTGGGAGAGGGAGAAGCAGGCTTCCCGCCGAGCAGGGAGCCCGATGCGGAGCAGGGTGCCCGATGCGGGGCTGGGGCTCGATCCCAGGACCCTGGGACCATGACCTGAGCCGAAGGCAGACGCCCAATGACTGAGCCACCCAGGCACCCCTCTATCTTGTGTATCTTCACAAACAAAGGATTTCCTTAATTACGTGGATTTACAGATTATGTGAAAAAAGATGCAGAGAAGTTAAGGAAATGCCCAAAGTGACAGAGCAAGGAAGTGGTAGACCTGGGTCTGGAACCAAAAGCCATAGGACTGGCTCCCCACCCTGTCATGCATTCACATCCCAGAGGTCTTGGTGCCAGCGAGGGAAACAGAGTCAGGAAGATGGGCAGTGGGAGCTGGGGTTTGTGAAAGGGTGACGCTCTGCCAGCCCATGATCAAGTTGTCAGTAATTTCATTTTAACGTAGACCCTTGAGGATTAGGACCCTACATGCCTTGTGTTCCTAGTATCTGGATTATTTGGTGCATTCCTTTCCCCTCCAGGGCTGAGCTCATTACTCTGAGAATTCTGACAGCCCTCGAATTTTAGTCTTGCTTTGACGACCTAGGGAAATCCTCTTGATTCTTCAGTTCTGACACAATGTGTTTAATTGCAATTATAAT